TTGCATGGTATTAATGACTGGTTTTTAAAATTGCTGATTGAATTGCTGATGAGTGTTCATGGGGAAAAAATGTTAAATGAATGTTGGCGTGGGATTAGGACAGAATTTCCAACCATTCCTAAAATGATCCTAAACTTACTTCTGCCATTTTTCTGGTGTATTTATATGAAGCAGTGCTCTCAGCTTTGACTATTATAAAACAAAATATCCATCAACTCTGAAAAACATTGAAGATACTCTACATTCTTTATGCCAAGATTTAATTATTTGTGTAAAAATAAAGAGCTCATGCATCTCATTAGTGTACTACTAATTTGCTTTCATCTCTAGTAAATGGTAAAACCATATGTATACCAAGGAATTGATTGAAAAAAGTTGCTTTATAATTTATCATCAGGAACTGTTTGATTTATAACCTATGGTAGACCTGAGGTCTTGTAAAACTTTCTCAGATGAAGGCTGAGGGAATTGTTCAGTGGGTAAATTTTTGCCATGTAAACATGAAGATCAGAGTTGGACCCATGGTACCCACACAAATGCTGAGCAGACTATATGACCCCCTCCTGTTATTCTTGTGTATGGCATGCAAAGATAGGGGATCCATGGTGGAGCAAGCATATTAGCCAACTAGATGACCCCAATCAGAAAGCTCTAGGTTCAAGTGAGAGACCCTGCCTCCATGTATAGGTGTGGAGGGCAATTGAAGATGACTCCCGACGTCAACATCTGGCCTCTACGTGTGAGTGCCCCCATAAGCAGGCACATCTGTGCACACCCATATGCAAATGCAAAGAGATGGGGTGAGCTGGCAAAAGGATGGAAATTTTTTTTTAGAAAACCTAATGTGAGATTCTTCCTCAATTTGAATTGTTCATGACAAAGCCACATTCTTCAGAAGCCGTGGGTGGGTCCTGTCACTGCATAGTAAAATGATTATGTCCTTATTCTGTCTCCTGCTCAGATAAAACTTCAGTGAATTCAAGTCCAGGCCCATTAGAAGACGAGTAAGAAAGAAGCATTATAAACCTGTTGCATTTGAGCAAGCCAGAGAAACCAGGTTACCTAACCTGACAATCTATTTCAGAACAACTCCAAATGATGCAACCCGCGTGTTTAGCATAAAGACGGTGAATTAATGGTGCAAAACTGAAGTGCTGAAACTCACAAACATCCTGCACTTCAGACACGAAAATGAGTTCCCTTTTTAATGAAAATGGATTGTACTGTTCCAGCCCACAAGAACCATAAAATACAAGTTCATTACTGGGGATTTTGAAAAGTAGAGGAAGACAAAGCTGGTGGAATTCTCCCTGTGTCAGTTTGACACTGAAGAGAAGCTGTTGAAATAATATTGATGGGAATGGGTTGTTTGGATTCTCTCAGAGATGTGTTTAAAATCATAAATGGTTGTATGTGTTGAAAAAAGAAAAAAGAAACAGCTCTGGTAGAAGTGCATAGGCTGAATCTCTCAGAGGTGTGGTTAAGTACTTGTCAACCTGAGGTGGGAGTCTTACAGGTGTCACAACCAGGAGCTAGAGCTGGACACGTTCTGGGTGGGAGAACTGAAGCTGAAGAGCTGTTGACCAAAACATACCTGTGTGCTTAAGTAAGTGTGAGTGTGTGTGTGTTTGGGGGTGGGGTGGGGTGTCTGGATAACACCTCCATCCTCCTGCAGCATCTGGGAAATCCTAGAAAAGTTAATGCAGACAAAAGTGACAGTTGCCGTTGTGGGGGCTGGAGAGATGGCTCAGAGGTTAAGAGCACTGGCTGCTCTTCCAGAGGTCCTGGGTTCAATTCCCAGCATCCACATGGTGGCTCTCAACCATCTGTAATTCCAGTTCCAAGGGATTCTATGTCTTCTCGGTGCCATCTTGGGCACCAGGCACGGAAGTGGTACACAAACATACATGCAAATATCCATACCGTATTCATTAAAAACCCACAAAGAATTTTAAAAGAAAGGAAAAAGAATGAAGGAGGGGAAAAGGAAGGAGGGAGGATGTTTCTGAAGAAGTGAAGGAGGAAACAGAAGGCCAATAGTAAGTTGCAGCTAATGTCAACTGGAGAATGGGCTGGGGGAGTAGCGTATATATCACGTGGGGGGATGTACATGTTCGTCTAGTGTCACCCATGAAAGTCTTTGTTCTAACCCAACTAATGCTGCCCGTGCTATAAAACACCCTGTCTAGAATCTTCTCCTCTCCCTGCACAGCTGTCTCCGGAACAAACAAGCTCTTGCAAGCCCCTAACTCTCATGAGGAAAAGAAACTTCAGTTTGAGTGGAAATTAAACTGTTCGAGGATTTTGATAAAGAGACGTGTTCTGCGGTAATAATCTAGGAAACATCTTTTTTGTAAATAATCAACAATGGATTAAGTTTGATGCTTCAAGAGGTCTTTGGGGGGAAATTCTCAGAAAAGATCCAGGGATGAGCACTGCACGGCCCTCACTTAGATGCACTTGAAAGACACAATGACATGTACCCTCCTTCCCAACCCCAGGCACCAACTAGAAAAAAGAGGAAAAGATAATTAAGCTATTCTCTCTAAATTGAGACAAAACTTGTTTTAGAAAGGTATAAAACACATGGATATTATTTGTTAAGACTCAGGAAGATAACTGCAGGCAAAGTCATGAATGGTGGCCATGGTTTTCGAATTTAAAAACTATGCTGGCTTCTGGCTTCTTTTAATGTGAAAGACATGGTGGGACACAGTGTTGCATGCATGAGATTCCAGCACTCAGGAGGCTGAGGCAGGGGGATGATGAGTTTTAAGCAGGCATGGACTATATAACAATACCCTGACTCAAAAAGGAGTGGGGGGGGCATTCTAAATTAAATTAACAGTAATTCTGCTGTGGGGATGTCAAGTCACAAGATGAGATTCTATCCAAGTGTGTAGTTGGATACATCTTCCTACAGTATTCCTTTATTATTTTCTCTATCATCTGGCAAGATGCCAATAGCCAAGTGAAGGACACTTTAGACAGAGCCACGGATGACAGAAACCTGGGTCCTTTATGACTGTGTGGGACAGCATTCCTTGCCCCACATCCAGAGAATATCTGGTTATGCTTTTGGAATTCATGGTATGTTCGTGTCTGAGTTTAACATTGTTTTAGAAGAATTAAGGACAGACCTTTGGATAATAAATACACATCATGTAGGTGAGCCCCATGCCTTCAACTCTGAATTAAAACTTCCTGCCAAAACATCTTTCCAAAGGAAGAACTGTTGGACTGGGAAGATGGCTCCATTGGTAAAGGTTCGACATGTGAAAGTGAGGAACTGAGTTCACCTCCCAGAACCCCTGTAACCAAGTAGTGGAGTGTTGCTGGAGGGCTTCTCTCCAGGTTCCACCAAGCCCCGCAGTCCCACAATCCACGTATAAAATAATCACTCAGATGCTTATATTACCTATAAACTGTATTACCGTGGCAGGCTTCTTGCTAACTGTTCTTATATCTTAAATTAACCCATTTCTATAAATCTATACCTTGTCATGTTGCTTGTGGCTTACCGGCGTCTTTACATGCTGCTTGTCCTAGCGGTGGCTGCAGTGTCTCTCCCTCCTTCTTTCTGTTTCCCCAATTCTCCTCTCTCCTTGTCCTGCCTATACTTCCTGTCTGGTCACTGGCCATCAGTGTTTTATTTATATAAAGCGATATCCACAGCAATGGAGTGCTCTTGTAATCCCAGCACTGGGGGGGTGGGGGACAGGTGGAGACTGGGGGATCCTGGGGCTTAATGTCTGGCTAGATTAGCCTATTGGGTGAGTTACATGTCAGTAAGGGACCTTGTCTAAATAATGACAGCTGAAGCTGCTTCTCACCTCTACATGTGCGCCATACACAACACAAGACACACACACACACACACACACAGAGAGAGAGAGAGAGAGAGAGAGAGAGAGAGAGAGAGAGAGAGAGAGAGAGAGAGAGAATGAGAATAGCTACCATCTGGTCTGAAGAATAGCCTTGAAAAACTTTGCTTATTCTTTATCTCAAGACAGCAAACATTTTTGAAGATGATGTGATTGGTTTAGATACAAAATTCATCCACTAGGCTCATGTTTAAACCCTTGGACCCCAGATGGTGGCACTATTTTGGAAGGTTGGAAGGTGAATCTCAACTAAAGGAAGTAGGTCCCTAGGAGGCAGGTTGAGGCTTATTGCCTGGCCCCACTTCATCCCATCTCAGCCTTTGATCTGCCCTGATGTGAATGAACAGGCTCCCCACTCCTACGGCTGTGAACTGCTCCCACCCCACAACACATCCCCACCATGATGGATCACATCCTCCCAGCTTGTGAGTTAAAATAACTCCTTCCTCTCTGAAGCTACCCTTTGTCCAGGTGTTTGATCCCAACAAGGAGAAAGGAGGCTAATACAGATGTAGAATGAATCAGCCTCACAGACAGTTTCAGAATGAGATTGAGTACAAATATCAACCTCTAATCCCCAAGCAAAGCTCACATAAAAATCCTTGTAGTAATTCTGCCAAGACAATGCACCACGCTATCTTTATGACCTCCTCTACTAGGTGGCAAGATGTTTGCAAACTTAAAAGCTTTTACGGTGGAAGAATCATTTCTTTTGTTTCATGGATCATTTGCTTCTCTGTTCTGTTTGTTACCTTAGTAAGAGAAAAAAAGGGGACAGAAACATCTGACATTTACGCTAATATGTTACCAGATATAAATATGTATGAATCTCAAATGCACTCTACCCTTGAATGGAGAATATGTGAGCTCAGGGTGTCTCAACCCTGCAGGGCCCAGGAAAGCTTACTGCACATTCTCTCATTCATGCTTCCTGTGGAAGAGATTTCTCTCTGTGAGGCCATCCAGACATTAACTGCATAATATTCGGGGGATCACCGGAATACCTTCAAAGGGTCAAAAAGTATTTAAAAGCTTGTAATTTAATTGATAAGGAGATTTTCATGCTTGGTTCCTTTATGCTGTATAAAACAACCTGACCAAAAAGCAAGTGCAGGGATGAGAATTTATTTTGCCTCATAGTTGGAGAGGGCGCACAGTCTATGATGGTGAGGAAAGCTTGGAGGGTTAGCCCGGATCTTACCATCGCAGGGCAATGGAAAACGATGCCTGCACACAATGGGCTTTCTCTTTCTTTGTCTTCCAATCTACTGTGGCTTCTGCCCCTTGGAGATGGTGCCACTCACATTCAGAGACAGTCTTTCCTCCTCTGCTCTCTCCAGATGCCCGCCAAGACAAGGCAAGAAGTGTGCCTTACCAATCTCCCAGGTGGTTCTAAATCTATTTAAGGTGACAGTGGAGACTAACCATTACAATAACTTACATGCCCCCTGGAATCCTCAGTGTCATTATCCATTAAACAGGGAAATCAGATTCCCGGGCACAACCAGTAAGGAATGAACAAATGGATTATGCTACTGCCCAGTTAATGTAAATGCAGCTCAGCTACTTTTTCGTTTGAGTATGGACTTTAAATGTCCCGTCCACTTGAACCCCAGTAGAATGAGGCATGGGAAGGTTCATCTGGCTGAATCTCTGGAGGAAGTATCCAGTGGTATTGGTGGAGGGGGGTGATCTTTCACTCTTTCCTTGTATTCAGCATCTACAAAGTGCTAAGTATTTTATTGTTTTACTTTATGTGTATGGGTGCTTTGCCTACATGTATGGCTGTGTACCATGTGAATTCAGTGCCATAGAGACCAAAAGAAGGCATCAGATCCCCTGGAGCTGGAGATATAGATGGTTGTGAGCTCCCATATGGATGCTGGGAATCAAGCCCAGGTCCTCTACAAAAGCAGCTGGTGCTCTTAACCACTGAGCCATCTCTCCAGCCCTGTCAGTGACTGCTTTCCTCACTCCCTACTGGACAGGGAGGTGAATCTACTGTCCATTGTTGCGTTCTGTGCTCATCATCAAAGTTACCTTATTGCAGAATAGCACTCAAATACAAGCATGAGCACTAGTGTCCAGGAGAGCCTGTGCTCACATAGGACATGCTGCTGATGCTGGTAGATTTGTTCTTGCATCTTCTGCATCCTTTCCTAGCGCTCCATCCTCAGGGTGCTGCTTAAGTGGTAACCACAGCTTGTCTTCCATTTCCAAAAGCTGCAGGCTCCAGTGAGCTATGCTAGCTTCTACAACAGAATGATGTGTTACAAGATGACAGGAATATGTCAGAACTTATTAGTGACAGAAACGGGCCGTCATGACTGGTACTATGATATTACTTTTTGCTAACATCTCAAAGAGATGTTTTCCAAAGCATGGTGGGGTTTTTTTATGGCAACTTCTGTATTTTTACAGTGACTCCAAGTTTCTTCTCTCAACAGTAGATGTCAAACATCCCGACGTCAAATTTCTCTACAAGAAACATCAAATGATTTAGTTTGTCTGGGCCCCTTATGGATCCAAGCTCATGGTGCCACATCCATCAAGAACCCCATGAGTGACATTTTACTACAACAAAGCAACAGACTATGTTACAAGTCACATGTCAAATGTGAGTCCAAACAAGCCTCTGATAAGTATGTGGGGCATGGGTATTCCCCCAAACATGTGCATGTATGGCAATTGCCTATCCTCAAGCACATGCCTGTCACATGTGCAGACCCTGGTACAGAGGAGAGGCTAAGGCCATACCATGGTATATTCAAAGCAGGAGCAGAAAAACTGTATCCTCAGAAACTCCTACCCTCAGGAGGCCATCAGCAGGGTCTAGAGAGATGTCTCAGTTAGTGCAGAATAAAAGCATGAGAATTAGGTTTTGGATTCCAAGCATACACATAAAAATCTGGGTGCTGGGACTATAGAGTTATGGGAACCCTTGGAGCGCTGCTCATCTAGCTGAATTAGTGAGACTGAGTTTTAGTAATAGACCCTATATCAAAAAAAATAGGCAAGTACCATGTCACTCACAGGCCTTCACACGTACTTACCACTTGCATTCACACACACACACACACACACACACACACACACACACACACACACATACACTCACACCCCCTTCCTACACACAATAACTAAATTAAGAAATAAGACTCCTGCAGAAGCACTCCTCCCGTAGAGAGACAGAAGACTGTCAAGTCAGCAACAATGAGCCATAGGAGACCATTTGAAGTCTATCAAGATAAACAAATACATTACCGTTCATCATCATCACTATTCCCTTATTACTTCAGTTGCAATAATGGATTCTGGAGGGAAGTGGATCTAGGCATGTATTTATTTACCTCTGCAACTTACCGTCAAAATACTGTGGAAGAGGCTGGTCACTTCTAAGGGTCTCTCTTTCCTTGTCTGAGAAATGGGCACATGAATTTTATAAAATGAGTAAGCAAGCAATACTACCTAGTCTTGGTAGCTAAATAAAAATGAAGGTCCTCGTCATGCTCAATTCAGTTTAGCATGTGGACTTTTCTCCACATAATCACTCAAGGAACCAGGGTCTTTGGCATTTAGGTCTACCATCTCCTAAGTTCTCCCCAGACCTGACTAGATCCTCTGTCGCCAGGCAACCAACAAAGGAAGAGAAATCATATACATTTCTCCCAGCAACAGAATCAGAACTCAGGAACATGGCCGCTGGAAAAGCATGTCAAACTCGGAACCCAGATGGATAAAGACAATGACAGGAATGTTAAGTGATTTGTCAGAACCTCAGTGAAATTACCTGCCTGTGTGGCTGCTGAAGATATAAAATGAGATGTTGGTGGTAAAGCAATTTGTGTTTGGCATGGGAGTTCATAAATATTAACTAGCATGGTATGTAGAAAGCAGATCTGAAATATTTCATAGACAGTGTTTGGTGGTTAATAGCAAGTGTCAGCTTGACAGAGACAGTCCTCTGGGCTTGGCTATGAGTTTTAACTGAGGTGGGGAGACCCACTCTGAACAGGCACAGCACCATCCTATGGACTGGAGTCCAGAACAGAATGAAAAGAAAATAAGCTGAGCACCAGCATCCATCTTTCTCTGCTTCCCGGTTGTGTATGCAATGTGTATGCATCTGCCTCAAACTCCTGCCTCTGTGACTCCCTCACCATGATGGACTGTACCCTCAAACTGTGATCATAACAATCCCTCCCTTCCCAAAGTTGCTTTGGTCAAGTGTTTCATCATAGCTGAATGAAAAGTATCCCACACTTATAATATTCTCAATGAATGTCAGATATTTTAGATAGTGTTAGTGCTAGGAATGAGACTGTATTATTATTTCAGATCATTGTTTAGCCTAAGATGATAGTTCAGTGATCAGAGAGCCTAGACTATGGAGAAACTTTTGTTTGAGAAGGAAAATTTATTTATATTATTTTATGGAGATTTGGGTACACGGGTGAGGGAAAAAAAAAAACATATTGTGGACTATCTGCTTCCCTCAGATGCTGAAGCAGGGATAACCCCTCAGTCATCCCTGTGGGGTCGACATCCACACACCTTCCCTGCATAAAGGCAGAATAAAGAGTGCAAGCCAAATGATGTTGTAATCCTACCGAGAAATCAGACTCCTTGTCTTCAGGAGAAAATCAGGAGGAAGACATCGACGGCATCATCGTTGATCATAAAGTTTCAGTGGGCCAAGGGTTCCGAGAAAAATAAACAGCAAAGACTTTTCACTTCTCAAAAAAAAAAAATGGAGGAGACAGCAAAGTCAGTTTATAAGGTTTCAGAATTGTGTCGTGGCGGGAGTTCAGAGAGAGACCAGATTCATCATTTTTAGCCTTAAAGACTGTGATAGTGAGCGGCAGCTGCCGTGTGCCATCTTGCACTCCCTGGTCATTGAGTATGACCCTTTCAGCTTGTTTCAGCCTGTTAAACTTCCTGCATCTGTTGTTGTGTCTCTGTTGATGTCTTTTCAAGAAAGAAGGCTGTGTTTGCTTGCTTCCCTCTCTACATCCGTCGTGGTTGCTGGTTTGGGTTTTATGGTCCGGGAAGCCACAAAGCGCAGGTAAAGTCTTCTTTGCACTGGGAGATAACCCATAAGAGAGGAGCTGGTTTCCTGTGCGTTCAGCTGTCCTGCTAAGGCCACAGTGAGTTGTTAGGGGGACAGTGAGATGCTGGACAGTGAAACAACCAGAGAGAGTAAGGAGGGGAGGAGACATGGAAGAGAAGAAGTGAAGAGTAAAGGCATGACGGTTCTCACCGCATCTTCCCGATGAGCAAATGGCTCTGTGGAGCAGGGTTAAGACAATCTGCAGGCTACAACATATGCCTGGTCCTCCATGCTTCTCACTGTTTCTTAAGGCATCTTATCGCTCTCTGATTGGAGGGATCTTGGAGACTTGTATTTTAGGCATCAGGAACACCCAGGACCAGCCTCTGCAAGTGGAGCTCAGCAGCAGAGCTCTTTTCACAATGGGAGGGAAGAGAAGGTGATGCCCCTCCTTGCTGCCCACCCCACCAATTCCTTCACTCAGCAGATGACCCTGCTGAGTGCAGCTGGCTTTTCTTACACATTAGGTTTTATTTAAACCACATGAAAGATCCTTGTGACTCCACTCAGCCCCACAGTTACTAGGCGTTTTTCCTTCTTGGCAGGGTGAGAGCAGGAGAGAAGAGTATGGGGTGGGGGTGGGGTGGCTTCTCAAGGCTGCCCTTATACCAGCCTGCTCCTCCTGGGGAAGGTCCTACCATAGTACCTATGGGAACATCAGATGCAGCTGCTGCCACCTCAAGTTTCACTGGTGAAAAACTCACCATATGCAGAGATGTATTTCAAATATTTTCTTTCCTTTTCTTTCCTTGCCTTTCTTTTTTTTTTCTTTCTTTCTTTTTTTTGTGGACATCTCTACATTTATTGTGTTTGGGAGGCAGAGTGAGGGAGAAACCCTGGCAGGAAGATTGGGTACAGGCTAGAGTTCCTGGTAAAGAGCGGGAAGAATATAATTGGGATCTGTCTTTTGCCCCAATAATTTTCTATTGTAGCTCATGTTGCAGTACAGGGATTGGTCCCTTCATTCATGTTGCAGTACAGGGATTGGTCCCTTCGTTCATGTTGCAGTAGAAGGATTGGTCCCTTCGTTCATGTTGCAGTACAGGGATTGGTCCCTTAATTCATGTTGCAGTAGAGGGATTGGTCCCTTCATTCATGTTGCAGTACAGGGATTGGTCCCTTCATTCATGTTGCAGTA